TCATACATACAGCACTAGCTACATATCTACTACTCAAACAACCACTCTGAAAAGTACTTTCTATCTTTATAGGTAGTAGTTATCTTGTTTATAGCCATTAGACTTTAATATAACCATACCTTTTGCTCCCCTTCCATAAGTTTTTTAAACCCCCCCCCCCCCCCCCCCCCCTTTTCCTCCTCAAAAATAAAAAAACATTGCGAATAAACAAAAAATTCAAGTAGACATTGCGCAAGTTTCAATCTATTGCACTTGCTGGCACTGCTACTCATACTGCTGGGGGTTCTCCCTGCATTACGAGGTGAAGATACTGATTCTACTTTAAAAATGGACAATATACTTTAGAATTGATTACTTTATTAATATTCAATAACTACTTCTGAATGTATAGTAAGTAGTTCACTCTTTAAATTGTTTATTCTTCGCATTACTTAGGAAGACTTTAGTGGTGATAAATGAACGAAAAAATTTTTAATCAATCGTTTGAAAATGTGCCAACCTGACTGACTCCTTGTGAAACTACGGGGCTTTGGTGTTTGTTACATTTAACTTCAATTTAATGTTAGGAAAAACTACTGCAAACCAAAAAAAAAAAGAGTTTTTCTTTTCACATGTTTCCAGGTGAGTGTGTGTTTATATGTCTGCTAAAGGTATGGATTTTTATTTAACAAAAAATATTCATTCATTTCTGAAAAATATGCGTCTACCATGGCATGATACCGTTTCTTTGCTATATAGCTTTGCTTTCAAAGTCTTGTTTATTTTTTGTTTGTTTTTGAAGAGTTTTCTTTTGGTTTTTATTATAAACAAAAGGAATTCTTTATAGGGAGTAGGTCATACTAAAGATTTTTAAAAATATTTGCTGGGTTATAACGTTATAACCAGGATTTAATTTTCTTAACAGTAAAAGAAAACAACTTCCATGGAAGTATTAAAAAAGTACTTATTATCTTCTATAAGTCAACAAAAACAAACTTTACTTGAGTATTTTATTTATTGCAGATTTAGCAATAATTTAATAAATTAACTCTGTTGTTATTTTCTTTTTAATAAATAATAAACAAGCTATTCTGCTCCATATAACAACTAAAATGGAGTACAAATAATTCTAATGTTATGGAAAGTTAAAAATAACTTAAATTATTAATAACAAAAAACCACATTATAAGTAGTACATAACCACAAAAGAACGTTTTAATATTTGAAATAAATCACAATAAATTTATGAAATATTATTGTGTATTTTTCTTTAGTCGTAGAGCAAAAGAAAATCCCACAATTGAGGCATTAGACAAAGCTTTCTTTTCCTAAAAAATACTCTAATAAAGGAGTGCACCATAGCTCCAATAGTGTAACTAATATAAAATAAATCTTATCTTAGCCCCTTACAATTACTATAACAAAACTTACTTTATTTACATCTATCATTCCCCCTTAATATATTCGCAAACTTTTCTCTAACATCAAATTGAAATATATAGTGTGTGAAACACATGTATGTATTCTTTGCTTGATTTATAGCACAATTAAACTCCAAACTGTAATACAGATATTTTACTAATTTTACCTATAAACCAACAACAATCTTTTATTTAATTTCTTTCTTTTTTTAATTCTATAGGTAGGAAGAACAACTGTGTCTAACTTTTAAGTAAATAATAGTGGGTAAAATGTTGTTTTCTATTCTATTTTACATTGTTCTATATATGACTGGAAGTTGGTGGTCTATAGTATATTCTCATTTCTCTGTGTTTTTTACAATTTTATCTTTTGTTTTTATTACTTTAGCCAGTTCCCTCAATTCAATTTGCTCTAGTTGTCATTGTTTATTATCCATGTCATATGTAGGAATCATTTCTATTATTGCTGCTGTTGATATTGTCGTTTCTCGTTTGTGTCTATGTATTGCCTGATACCGGAAAGCCTCAATTGAATTGTGTATTTTTGCTTTATAGTTTTCAAAATAAATGGTTCAAGAAAAGGGTTACACAGACATACATATGTATGTTTTGTCACTGTGCAAACATTAAAACAAAACAAACACTAAATCAAACGCACTAAAAACGTGACGATTAAGTATGATTTTATATATTAAACTGAACAAATTATTTTCAATCACATCGTATAACAATATATTCTATTTATTTTTATATATAAATAAGCAAAATTAGATTTGTGTTTTTGAGCTGAATTGAAAATTGCTACTGGAGTATTATATAAACAAATGATTTATTAAATTGGATAAACTAATTAGAAGGTTACTCTTATCAACTCATATGTTGATATTAAAATGTTAAACATTTGTCATATATTGATATTTTCTGCATATAAAATAAGTTAAAATAAAAATATCTATTATCATACATATTATGCTCTCACTTGAAAGTTTTTTTTTAATACATTCCTCTCCAGACAGCTATGAGTCATGAATCAATCTTTTGTTTAAGATTTCAAACAGAGCATTATTGTGAGCAAATGCTGGTATATTTTTAATAAAATTATTGAAAAAAATGTAATTAAAACATTTTTTGAAGAAATGTTTAAAGAAATTATATAATTTCGAATGTTAAACAACAGTAAAAGGAAATATTTAAAAAAAATTAAAACCATAACAATTAAATGTATAAAATTAAGCACTGTGTATTTTTAAATACATATACATAACTAATTTTAAGTGAATAAAAAATAAGCGAAATTTTTCTGACAACAAAAGTGTTATAATCTGTCAATATACACTGGCTGTCTGGTAACTATAATTTGTATACCCTACGTCATTACTAAAGGGTATGATACGTTTCTATTGGTATTTGTAAAGCATAAACATGTGTATTCTATAACCGGCCTAGAAGGTTTGGAATCGATGTCTGAGTCGATTACCCATGTCCATCGTTATGTTCGTTCGTAAACCTTAGAAACAAACTATGAGTGCTCAGCTTTTTTGTGATGATCGGCCCATTATGGATATTGCCTTTCCATACATAAGACCTTTTTCTGAAATCAGAAAGACATTAAGATCCAATTCTAAACTGAAATAGAAGTGAACTAGAACTGAACTGAACTGAACTAGAACTGAACTAGAAGTGAACTAGACTGAACTGAACTAGAACTGAACTATAACTGAACTAGAACTGAACTAGAACTGAACTAGAACTGAACTAGAACTGAACTAGAACTGAACTAGAACTGAACTAGAACTGAACTAGAACTGAACTAGAACGGAACTAGAACTGAACTAGAACTGAACTAGAACTGAACTAGAACTGAACTAGAACTGAACTAGAACTGAACTAGAACTGAACTAGAACTGAACTAGAACTGAACTAGAACTGAACTAGAACTGACTAGAACTGAACTAGAACTGAACTAGAACTGAACTAGAACTGAACTAGAACTGAACTAGAACTGAACTAGAACTGAACTAGAACTGAACTAGAACTGAACTAGAACTGAACTAGAACTGAACTAGAACTGAACTAGAACTGAACTAGAACTGAACTAGAACTGAACTAGAACTGAACTAGAACTGAACTAGAACTGAACTAGAACTGAACTAGACTGAACTAGAACTGAACTAGAACTGAACTAGAACTGAACTAGAACTGAACTAGAACTGAACTAGAACTGAACTAGAACTGAACTAGAACTGAACTAGAACTGAACTAGAACTGAACTAGAACTGAACTAGAACTGAACTAGAACTGAACTAGAACTGAACTAGAACTGAACTAGAACTGAACTAGAACTGAACTAGAACTGAACTAGAACTGAACTAGAACTGAACTAGAACTGAACTAGAACTGAACTAGAACTGAACTAGAACTGAACTAGAACTGAACTAGAACTGAACTAGAACTGAACTAGAACTGAACTAGAACTGAACTAGAACTGAACTAGAACTGAACTAGAACTGAACTTGAACTGAACTTGAACTGAACTAGAACTGAACTAGAACTGAACTAGAACTGAACTAGAACTGAACTAGAATTGAACTAGAACTGAACTAGAACTGAACTAGAACTGAACTAGAACTGAACTAGAACTGAACTAGAACTGATCTAGAACTGAACTAGAACTGAACTAGAACTGAACTAGAACTGAACTAGAACTGAACTAGAACTGAACTAGAACTGAACTAGAACTGAACTAGAACTGAACTAGAACTGAACTAGAACTGAACTAGAACTGAACTAGAACTGAACTAGAACTGAACTAGAACTGAACTAGAACTGAACTAGAACTGAACTAGAACTGAACTGAACTAGAACTGAACTAGAACTGAACTAGAACTGAACTAGAACTGAACTAGAACTGAACTAGAACTGAACTAGAACTGAACTAGATATGAACTAGAACTGAACTAGATATGAACTAGAACTAAATTAGAATTGAACTCAAGGACTAGAACTGAACTGAACTTGAACTAAACTTAACTAGATCCAATTTCGGAAAATAGCATTAAATTGGAATAGTAGTTTATTATTGGCGTTATCGAGATATAATTCACAACAAATTACTTTCAGAAATGAAAAAGTGTAGAGTGTCATATAGTCGAGATTTAAGCGACTTTATTTTCTTACTACTTTTTAAACTTGATGACGTTTAGCAAATGAATGTGTGTTTGATGATGTATGTGTAATGTCTGCATTTGCAAAAAAAAAAAATAAAAATCGAAGTAAAAAACATATTTTTTAATCTTATAAAAACAGCAACAAATATTTGCTTTTTATTATGTGTGTGGAATTATGAAAAAATCCAATATTGTTTTAAAGAAGGTTAATTCAGTTAATTTTGTTGTTTTTTTTTAATTTTTTCGTTCATTTGGCAATTTTTATTTGCAGGGTGTGGCGAATTTTAAACATTTATTTGTATTACTTTTTTCTAAAATTTCACAGCAGGATTTATTAGATCAGTGACAGGATAATGTTACAAGGCTATTGTAAGACATAACGAGGACAACGCCTTGTTCAATTGAAAACAAGGAATCATTGTGTTAAACTTACCTTTTTTGACGCCAAATGCCAAATAGAAAAAATCAATTTTCGGTTGAATGACTGCTTGATGTGAAGGAGCACCCTAGTAAACCACATAAACGTTAATAAAAAACAATGAATCCTATTTTGGGATTTTTTTTTTCTTAAGGGGATATATTGCAATTGCAAAATTTTAAACGCGTTGGCTCACTAAACACATACACACAAATCAAAATTTATGAATTTTTTTCTTTTTTTGTATTTAAATTTATTTATTTTCCAATTAATTGCAGAAATATTTTATTCACTTTGCCTTTTTGACTTTGTAGCTTTGTACACTTTTTGTTGTTTAAAAAAACTACAATAATAAAAAATTCACAAATTCATTTCATTTTTTCGTTTTCTCTACTTCTTCATTCGTTTTTTCTGCTTCTTCTGTTTTTACTCCTCCCAGGGCTGTGCACTAATAATACGAATAAATAACAAGTACTACAACAACACTATTGTTTAGTGGAGAATTACTAAAGTAGCAGCAGCAGTAGTAGAAGACAAAAACAACAAAAACTTTGCACGTATTTTTTTAATTTTATCTTTGTGTTGTTGTATGTTGTTCACATTTCATTATTTCTTTTGCCTTTTTCTTCTTCTTAGTGTGTGTCTTTTACATCGTTCTTCGTTATTCTCATCGATTTGATCTCATCTTGTTGTTTTTGTGCCCCCGCCTCCGCGGTGGTGTTGAATTTTTTATATTTTTTTTTCTGCTTTTCAAATGATAAATTTTTTCTTCAATGAATTACTAACATTTTGTTTTCACTTTTTCTTTTAATAATAGCCTATTTTAATTTATTTAAATTTGTGTTTTTGGTTGAGTAATTTAATTTTTATTTGCAATAAACTTTTATATTTTTATATTCTATAATTAAAATAAATTTTTCAGAGAAACTTATTCAATTTTAATATGCCGACGTTCGCTTGTTTCAAGACGTGAATTTTTCGTTTGCTTTTTCATCGCAAATAAGAAAAAGGCGTGTGTGTTAGTGGTATTGCCAGGTTGCAGAATTATGAGGGTAACAGAGTTGTATTTTAGACAATGTGGGGGCATTATTTGTCAAATTTTGTTGTAAATTTTTATTTTCTATTAAATTTTTGTAATACAAATATTTTACGTTCCATAATTAAAACAAAATGTCATCGTTTTGCAATTTTTAACTATCAAAATTTATATATTTGAGTTTATATATTGGAGTATTTTCGACTTATTTTACAGTTACTCATTCAAGTATTTAATTTCTAGTAGATAAGGCGTATTTACATAAGGTGGTGTTGTTGTATCAGCTGATCATTTTTTCATTAGACTTGTTGTACAGTCGAAGTCGACTAATTGTTCAAAAAAGCCTGTAAGTCGACTTTATTGTAGCATAAATATATTGTAGAAAAAAATCGAAATAAATCAAACATTTTCAGAAAATAACGAATAGTGAAAAAACTCGAAAATTTTCGGAAATAGCCGATATAAAAAATCGGGACGGTTGGCTCTCGCCAAATTTTAACACAGTACAGAAATTTTCTGAAAAAAAAATCTCAATTAGGAATTAGCAGCCGCGGGTATAATTTATAACCAGAAGCCGCCGATCATTTTGCATCGGCTTGTATTTATACTCATTTGCCACTTTTTACAAATAAATTAAAACGGGTTGCCACATCATATTGAAATTATGAAAAACTATTAGAAACAATTTTTTATTTTCTCCAGAATTTACACATATAGAGACACTTTTCCATCTAACTAACCAACATAGTCATTTTTTATATAACAAACGCTTATACAGAATTTGTCAGAAAACAATTTGCCAACTTAGATTTTATCCGACATTTTAGCCGCCAACCATCGTTTTTCAACGGCTTGGAAATCTGATTTAGACTCAGTGTTGCCACATATTTTTTGAAGAAAACTTTATTTTTAAGAAAAAAACTTTTTATGTAATAAATGACAAAATACTCCAAGAAAATTAGTTAAAATTGAGGAATTTTAAACAGCTTAAGGGGAGTTCGTACAGAACATTTCCTTAACATTACTAGTAAGGGCTTACTGGTCATCGTGGTCTTAGATACCACCAATTTATATATGGAAATGTCATGATGGATCTATGAAGATTTTGTGCACTACAAGAGGAAACTTCTGAAAATATCATTTTGTAACTACCAGCCCTTTTGGACTCGAAAGGCTTATGCGTGAGCCAATGTACAAAACGTCCACAATAACGTAAAAGTCCCTAATGTCTAATCTAAGAGATTAAAGGTCATCAGTGCCGGTCAATGTTTACAGTTTTTAAACTGTAGTATAAAATATTATTTTATTAATGGTAAAAAAAGTTATTTATTGAATAAATAAAAAATTTAAAAACTGTATAAATTATAAAAAAACTTTTTTTTATTGGAATAAAACTTAAAAACTTTTTTGAAACTCAAAAAAGGGGAAAACTTGAAATATGGTAACACTGTTGAGAGTGTATTGTGATTTATGTTGTGTTTACATTTGGAAAAAAATAAAGAAAATGAAATATGTGGGCCAGAGATACAAGCCGATGGGAAATGATCGGCGGCGGCGGCTTATTACAGAAAATAACGGCGACGGCTAAATTGTCGGCTCAATTTAACTTTTTCTTTAGAAATTGACCTTATAAGGTTTATTATATTGAAAAATCTTTGTATAATAGTCTGTTACATAGAAACCTGTCTCTATATAAGTTTTTTTCTGCAGAAAATGGACATTTATAGTAGTTTTCACTATTTTAATATTAGCACAATATTGTGTGGCAACTCTTTTTAATTTGCCATAAGAATTTAAAATAGTGGCAACTCCGTTTAATTTGGTGAAATTATGTTCTGAAATACATGTGTGATTCTAATCTTTATCAGCGGCTACGTTTAAGCCGGCTTAGCTTTTGAGCCGAAAGAAGTCGGCGGCGGCGCGGCTTGCAAAATATTACCGGCGGCCAGCCGCCGCCGATTTGAGCCGTCTCGGCTTGTATCTTTGATGTGGGCAAAAGATTTAGTAGAATTGCTTGCTAATAATTAATTATGAACAACATGAACATTTGTAGATTGCACGAGATCCTGAATCAGGATTCCTGATTTGAAATTAAAAAGATATAATAAACACATTACACTTGAATGTACGCAAAAGAAGTTGTGTTTGAGCCTAAACTATGGTACTTCTCGCAATTGAAATTTTTAAAGCTGCATTAATTTAAATTATTTCAATAATCATTATTACATAATAAATATTGATAATTTTAAATATAGTAGATGATATTGATAGTACATTGAGAGGGATGCTTCTGTTAACGTAACGTTTCCAGTTAGAGCAGTTTTGTATTGAACAATTTTTAAAACTTACGATTCATTCGAGAGAAAAGAACAAATTACATGAATAAAACTGATTACAATATAAATTAGAAGTTAATTATCTATTTAGTCTCATATTTTTTTTAATAAAATTCTTTTGAGTAACACGCCTTTTCTTAATTGGCATCAAAGTAAATTAATAAAGTAGCGACACGAGTTGTTGTACAACAAACGTCTACAAAAACCACAGGCAATTTGTTTTTGTTCGAAATACTCAACTGTCAAAATTTGTTTACAAAATTGAACCAATTATTAATGGAAAATATGGCATTATTGGTGCGCTTTCCAAAAATATGTTGTTATTTATATTAAAAGTCACAGAGTTTTCTTTATTTTTTAAAAATTAGAACATTTTTAAAAATATTATACACCTAAAATACACTTTTTCACATTAAATACAACAAATTACTCAGAAATTTGTACAAAAGCACGCGTTAAAATTAAAACAAATATGGCAACATAAACATTTTGACAAGTAAGCCCACAAATAGCAAGTTTAAAAAAAATAGTCAGCTGTTCAAATGAGTCTACTTTATAAATTTACTTTGATTGGCATATTATTTGCAATTTCTCAACATTCTATTAAACCCAATATTATTTCCACGTCTTCTCTGTCGTCTAAATCTCCAGTTTCAATGGCGGCTTCTATTAAATTTAATAATTCTTCAAGAATATCATCCTTCTCATTAGTCATTTTAATTAATCTGTAAAATATTTTTATTAATATGTATTAATAAACAAATTTATATTTAATATACTTACCCAGTCTTCAATAAATAAAAAGAACTTTATATTAATATTATATAATAATATTTTTTTAAAATTCAATTTTGAAATTTGCATTATTTCTTCGACGGCCAGCAGAGCCCAGCGCCGACAAATATTAACGGCGGCTGCGGCTGACACTAAAAATATCGACGACGGCTTAAAATCGACTGTAAGCCGGTTCTCAAATGCGGTTAATTTTAAAATTTTCAGAGAGACTTTTTAGTGGGATTTTGTATATAATTTATAACAATAAAATATGATAGTCTATGCCCCGCTGCATTGTAAAATACATAATTTATATATCTCTTCATGCACAACTTTCACAAAAGCTGGACATCTGATTTTAGTACTTTATTTTAGTACTTTCACAATGATTTCAAGTCATATATTTTGCGTACAACGCATTACCCCTCTGCAATCGCAACAAATTCTCAAAACGCTGTGTTAGGGGGCTGATAGAAGGTTTACCCAAAAAGGCCTATTAAACGGTCTTCCGTTGAAGGCCTATTAGAAGATCTTTCGCTGAAGGTTTATAAGAAGACCTATAAACAATGATAGCAACCGTTATGAAACGGTATATTTTGGTAATGGTATTTTAGCGGTAACGGTAGTGTACTAAAAAGACATTTTATTTATTTATTCAGTAATAAAAAAGCCAATTTGGCCAAAGTAATATTACATAGTTCTGTCTGTTCTGTAAACTGAATCCGAGTAAATTTCTCGATTAAAAACGAATTTGCATAACTTTTTTCGTTTTAAAACCGAGTACATAAATATAGTTGAAAATATTCCAACATTTTCAATTTGAAAACATTATTAGAGTGTGTAAAAACTCATAACTCTAAAGGCAGACTATTCTATATTATATTTATATATTTTAGCGGTAATTTCTTTATGAAATGAAACTAGCTATACCCAGTGTGCTTAGCTACCCTCATCGTAATGGAATAAAATAAATATTATTATTGTATAAGTTTGATTTTAGATTTTCATTGAATCAGAATGATGCATGATGCAACCAGAAATTCTTCGCATACAGATTTTTATGCATTCAGGAAGCTGCGTGTCCAATTTTATGTTTAGGTTTAATATTATAGAAATTCTAAAAGTATTAGTAAAAGAAAAAATGATTACCAAAAAGTGTCCTTTTTTAAATTTTCGTTCAATCAGGATACTGCGTGTTAAATTTTTTAATTTTACATATATTCAATATTTTAGAAAACTCATAAAGTACCAGTTTGAAGTCCGAAAAAGTACCAAAGTAGACTTCTTTTATTTAATTTCATGTTCCTAAGTTTAATATTATAGAAAATCCAAAAAGTACCAGTTAAATAAGGAAAAAGTACCAGATAATAAATACTCCATTTTAAATTTCCATTCACTTAAGTCCCTGATTGCATACTTTCCTGTTTCTAGGTTCATTATAATAAAATACCAGTACCAGTTGAAGAACGAAAAAATTACCAAAAGGTAAAATTTTATATGTTCGCATTTACTCCGGACTCTACATGATTGATTTAAAATTTCTGGGTTTAATATTATAGCAAACTCAAAAATTACCAGTTAAAGAACGAAAAAGTATCAAAAAGTCACCGTTTATATGTTCTTTCTTAATCCGGGCTCCAAATGCTTAATTTCATATTTCTAGGTTCAATATCATAGAGAATTCAAAAAGTAGCTTTTGAAGAACGAAAAAGTACCAAAAAATCCCATTTTATAAGTTCTCATTTACTCAGGGCCCTACATGCTTAATTTCATATTTCTAGAATCTAGATTTAATTTTAAAGAAAACTCAAAAAAGTACCAGTGAAGAAGGAAATGTACCTAACTAAAGTCTATTTATTATTATA